GTTTCACCATGTTGACCAGGATGGTCTCGATCTCTTGACCTCGTGATCCACCCGCCTCGGCCTCCCAAAGTGCTGGGATTACAGGCTTGAGCCACCGCGCCCGGCCAATCCTTAACTCTTAACTAAGCATTAAAAAATTTATACTGTACAGAAATGCTATGAGTGTGAAAAACATGGCAAAGCCTAAATTGGTCATCACACCTACACTACACACATGTGTAGGTAAGATAGTAGAGAAAATACCTACACATGTGAACAATGTGGTAAAACTTGTAACGAGTGCTCACACCTTATTGCACAGGAAAGCATTTATAATTGAGATAAATTATACAAATATAAAGACTGAAAAGGCCATTAATATCTTCTCACGTCTTAACACCAGAGAGTAATAAAAGCATACGTATAATTACTGTCAAAAGATCTTTCAGATAATATAAGCTTTTGGCCAGCTGCAGTGGCTCATGCCTGTAATCCCAGCACTTTGTGGGGCTAAGACAGGTGGATAATGAGGTCAGGAGTTTGAGACCTTTGGGGTTCTGTCAGGATGGTGAGGGAAATTGTAAAATTATAGAAAATAAGCACACACCCTCTTGGAAGGCCTGGGGGTTTACACAAAGGGTTTGGCTGAAGGCAGAATTATCTTAAAAGCTTAGAGTGTGGAGATACAAAGGAATGTAGAGTACTTTAAATAGCTTGTTTCCCCATGTGGTTCTAAGACCAACCTATGATCAACTAGAGGTGCATAATTGCTCTCTACTCGGGGAGTCAGCAACCGGGTAAATTACCCTCGTGATGTTTCTTCAAGATCTGTGTCATTTAATCTGTGCTTAATAAATGTGTCGCTGGCTGATTGGGGCCTTGGCTGTGACTCTTTGCAGCACTTTTCATGGTGTCTGTGAGTGGCCCAGGCCCTCAGCCAGGCTGACGGGCAAAATATTTGTGTCAGTGTACATCTCTTGTCTGTCGCTGGGTCAGGGTCTGTGGGTCGGACCCCTTCAGCTGGTGCTGTGTGTGTGGAATGTTGTGAAAGATCGCTTCGGACCCTCAGAAATGAAGGTGAAAAGGATTGAATGATCAGTAAGTCATTGGTGCCCACTTGGGATTTCTGTGTTGGGGTTGCGGGGCGGGGGGGGGGGAATTGTTCAGGCTAAGGTTTTATCATGGGACGACAGTGATCAGCTGCTTAAGGCTAGTGAAGCCTCGATTTCACAGGCTCAATTAAGGGACCTAATGCAAACTGTTGTAACCCGTAACTCAAGGTTCCCAAAAGAAGGCAAGCTAGACGTAGAGCTCTGGGAAAAAGTGGGGAGAAAACATCATCACAAGGGCAACGAGTCCCGGTAACAGCCCTAACACTATGGGCTTTAGTTAAAGCTGCTCTTGTTCAGCTATACACAGAAAAACCTAAAAAGTGGAAGGAGGAATACCTGTCACCTACTTCACCACTCTTGAGTCCCTCAGCCCCGTTGTCACCGGACCGAAATAACAAAGAGAAAATGGAGGTATTGCCGGAGCCGCCTCCTCCAATGTATATGAAAAAAGGACAAGAGACACGCTCCAGCTGTGGGACCTTGTCTTAAGCAGGCAGCATTAGAAGGGGAGCTCTTAGCCTGCACAGTAATGCAAGACTGACAAGGCAATTGGCTACATGAACCCATTTATTTTAATGCTTATAAGGAGCTGAGAAAAAGCATTAAAATGGAGCCACTAGGCCAGGTGCAGTGGCTCATGCCTATAATCCCAGAACTTTGGGAAGCCAAGCCGGGTGGATTACCTGAGGTCAGGAGTTCGAGACCAGTCTGACCAATATGGTGAAACCCCGCCTAAAAAAAAAAAAAGCCACTAGCCCATTTATGAAAGGAATAATTGAGGCCTTGGTAGACCACTTCGCTAGCTGAAACAACTTTGGAACCTAGCCAATACCTACTCTGGAAGGCAGAATATGAGTTTTGCAAACAAGCCAACCAGAATTAAGCAGCTGGGCAAGACATTACAGCTGCCATGCTCAAGGGGAGGGGTCTTTATTGCTGATGTACAACAGCAACTAGATTTCGATCCCCAGGGCTATACTCAAGTATCTTTGTGCACTCTCAGGGCTTGGGACTGAATTCCGAAAACTGGAGTTCAACAGGGGTCTTATATAAATGTTTAAGAAGGGCCTCAGGATCGATTTGTTGAGTTTATCAATTGGTTAACCCAGGCCATTAAGAGACAGACTAGTCATGCACAGGCTGCTAATAGATTGTTGCAAGTGGCTTTTGAAAATGATAATGTGGGCCGGGCGCGGTGGCTCAAGCCTGTAATCCCAGCACTTTGGGAGGCCGAGGCGGGTGGATCACGAGGTCAAGAGATCGAGACCATCCTGGTCAACACAGTGAAACCCCGTCTCTACTAAAAATACAAAAAATTAGCTGGGCATGGTGA